GATCCGCAGTCATGCAAAGGTTTGGAAACAACACCTTCATAGTATGATTCAGCAAACAATGCATTGAGTCTTGGGGCTTAAATCCTTTAACATTATGAACTGAGTAGGGGATAATACTTTTGAAAGACAGTGGGTGAATAAGGTGGGTGAAAAAAATAATGGGAATAGAGATAAATGCAGATGATTAGTGTAATGAGAAAAGGATGACAATCAAAAGAAATGATGGCTTGGAGACAAAAGGGTCAGAACTAGTTAAGGGATACTTTTAAATGGTGATTATGTTTAAATGGCTCATGTACTATTTGATCTGCTTTGAAAAAGTACATTTAATTGTCAAAAAACGTAAAAACGAGTGTTCAAGGGGTCTGGGTAGGGTTCTCACCCCAGAAACTTGGAGTGTACTTGCAACCATTTGGTATGTCTGTACGTACCAGGCGCTACGCCTATGAATTAATAGACTAAAAACAAAAAAACAAACAATTCTGAGACAACAAGGCAAGAGAAATATATAAAAAAAGATAAGATCCTGAAAGATTTGAAAAGCAAAAAAAAGATATGCAAATGATACAATCTCAAATTAAATATTTCATTCAAAATATATATTTTTCTTAATTCTAAATAATATCCTTATATGGTAGCAGTGATCTCCCCAGCATTAAAGCAAGTGGGCGCAGAACCCACCTGAGATTTTGATTATTGGCTTGCACCCACCTGAGAATCTATTTGCACCCACTTGAAAATAAGAAAAATCATAAAAACTGGCATATTTTGACCAATTTTGGTCCGAATTGTGAAAATTTAAATTTTGAGAAAAAATCCTGTGGAGATTACTGCTACCATAGTAGAGATTTTTATAAATTTTATGGTTACCATTTTTATTATTTGGGAGAATTTAAACAATTTTGGCACTTTGAATCTTTCATAACTTCACCAATTTGTAACATATCGTGGATCTTTTGGGAAATCTTGAGATTGGAAGGAATATATTGTTAGGTCAACTGTACATATTGCTTGCTGTTGCTCACAACCCCCTATGCATATTTAAATGTTTTCTTTTTACCAAAAACTTATAAGAGACAGAGTACTTTTTAAAATATTCAGCTACTTTATCAATGTCAAACAAGGCATTAATGTGACAAAATGTCACCACCTAGTTGCTCACAATATTATGAGTTCAATCTTAAATCAGGTTTGAATTTCCGAGAACTAATAATTATATATATTATTTATATAATAGCTAAGTTTATATAATTTTGAAAAAAATTGGTCAATTTGAGGCAAGTTGAAAACAGACCTTTTTGACCTTTTTTACCTTGAGAAGGTCATTGAAGGTCAAGTCTTAAATCTAAAAATCAGATTTGAATTTCTGAGAACTTATGGATGATTTTGAAAGAAAAATTTGGTCATTTTGAAAAACTTTTTGAGCTTTTTGACCTTGAAAAGGTCATTGAAGACCAAATCTCAAATCTAAAGTCAGATTTGAACTTCTAAGAACTTGTAAATGATTGTGAATTTTTTTTATCAATTTGACGCAAGTTGAAAATACTTTTTTTTACCTTTTTTACCTTGAGAAGGTCAATGAAGTCAAATCTTAAGTCTAAAGTAATTTGAACTTCTGAGAACTTGTAAATGATATTGAAAAAAAATTAATCAATTTGAGGCAAGTTGAAAAAAGACCTTTTTGACCTTTTTTTACCTTGAGAAGGTCATTGAAGGTCAAATATCAAATCTAAAGTAAGATTTGAACTTCTGAAAACATATAGATGATTTTGAAAAATATTGAAGTTTGTCTAAACAGTATTTAAAAAAGTTACTGGAAGTTGTAAGAATTTGTTAGATGCCAACTGTCACCCGCCGGATGCCAACTGCCACCCGCAATAAAAAAAAACGGAGTCTATAACAATATGTCATCACTTTTTGGTGGTGACATAAAAAAAACTAAATGTTTACCTGGTTATACAAGATATCAACTGAATAAACATGAACACAAAATTGACTGAATTCGGAAGTCCTAGACGTTTACATTTTACGCTCATGTCCCATGTCTCACTGGTCAGCATCAACCAAAGGTAACGGCTGTAACCTTCATATCTAAAGATGGTAAACTGTAATTGTCAATTTCAATATGTTTAGTTTTGCTAGAATTAAACTTCTTTATAATTTATGTTATATGCTTTGATTTGAACCAAATCAGGCTTATATGACATGGAAACTCTGGAGTATGATTACTGTATTTCTTCATATATCATGCGTTGAGGCCACAGGTCAAGTATATCTTCCTCCACTTAGAGAAGGTAACTGGGATTTGGGTTTTACAGATTATAAAATCTCAGTTACCTTCCCTTAAGCGGTGGAAGATATCACTGAACTGGGGTACTTAAACATGTGACCGAATGGTCATACTCCAGAGCTTCCATGTCATATGAGCCTGATCTAGGTCAAATATCAAAGCATTATGTCAACTATAATCAGAGCTGTCAAGTGTCCCGCGAATGGCAGGTTTATCCCAAAAATTTGATCAAAATTAGGCTTATTTGCGTGTCCCGCAATGTCCCGCAAGGTCCAGCGAATGTCGGCTTTGACCTCCGCAAATTCCAAAAATTGTTGAAATCCCCTAGGCTAATATTGTGATTATCTTGTGATATAAGATCAGCTAAGTTTTTTTGCACGTTTGGGGAGTAAAGTTTACTTAATTTGAAAAGTGCTGCCAAACTCCCAGTGCATCAGATCAGCAAAGACTGCTTTTGGAAAGAGCTCTTGCTTTTGGAGGAATTACTGATCGTTTTTTGTTCAGTGTCCTACAGTACCACAAAAGTTGATTACGTAGCACATAATCTCGAAACTTCATCTAATAGTATTACAATATTTGTGTGCGTTGCACTGAATTTTGTAAACACTAATTTGTTATTAAAACCTGTATGCGTTACTTACTCTTCCCCAATGCTTTTATTTTTTATGAAGTTAATGTAAACGAGACTAGAGACCTGGGACTAGAGAACGCAAGATAATCTTTACAATGGTGTGACAAGATATAACGGAAACTACGTAATAACATTCCTAAGCGAATTGTGTGAAATTGTGTTGACGTTTATTAAGTAAAGTGCAATATTTGATAATCTGTATCTGAAAGTTTGATTCTAATTGAAAGCCCATGCTTTTACGTAAGTCCATGGGCTCTATCAGAGCCCATGGTAAGTCACAATCACGCAAATCCCTTGAATGTCCCGTGACATCCCGCAAATTTAGGTGGATGTCCCGTGAAATCCCGTAAATTTAGGGCACTTTGTCTCAAAAATCTGTCCCTCTATGAAGTCTTTGGTGGTTACCCTGTTATCTGCCCCACAATAAGAATCTAGATCTAGCGTATTTGTCGCTCGAATGGTCCAACACCAACCGCTGAACACCACCCAGGAACATCGTCCACAAAAGTGTTGGAAACCCACTGACAGCACCATCTATCAAATACTTAATATAATATACTATTCTAATAACTAAATTATGAATGATAGACTTGTGCTCATGGAGACCAAACCACAATAGTATAGTTTCCATATAGCTTTTGAAATCTCGCTAAATCTCGTTTTTCGTGAGATTTTAAGAGACTTGCATATTAGACCTCTAATGACTTACATTACCTTCTTTTAAATGGTATATTTGAATTCAGTGGAATGTTTTCTCCTAAAATAGCTTTGATTTACACAGTTATGTAATTTGAATAATTTTCTATGACAATTTAAAAAAAGTTGGGCCAAATGTCCATAGATGCAATGCTAAAATTCTTTAAAACCGTGGATTATTTGTATGTCAATCAACATTAGCATGTTTAATCACAACATGTTCATAAACAGGGTCATCATGTGGTATATCATTCAAGTTTTATACAGATTCAACAAACACACTTTGATAAATCATGAAATTAAGCCACTTTTCCAAGATTTTAGCATGTAAGTGAATGGAGCTCTAGCCAGAGTTAAAAGCTGAATAAAAGATGGCAGCACAAGATTTCATTGATTTTTCTGCTATTTAGAAACTATCCTATTGTGCCACATGCTATCTATTGCAAGACTTACGCCTGCCACAACCGTCACCATGTTAATCAGTGTTTTTTAAGTAGCGCAAGGATCCTGCCATGACCGTGGTAGTGTTATCGTGTAAGCCTGGTATAACCGTGACAGGCTGGTATAACCGTGACAATGCTGTATTCTATTGCAAGGCCTGTCATGACCCTGGAAGTGTTATCGTGGAAGCCTGGCGCGACCGTAGCCTTTATTGTGGTTTATATGCGAATGTGAATATTAATGTATAGTAGTAATTTTGATTTTGACATGATTAAGGTAGTTAAACACCATGATCATAGTATTAAACTGTTTAATTGTAATGAGGATCACCTAAAATTGTTAAGGATATTCCTGGCATTAATGTCATACATATTTACTAGTCATTGCAATACATTATAACGGTCATAGTAGAACTAAGTCTAAATCTCTACATTACCACCCTCATACCTGGCCTTGCAATACTATATTACATTGTCACGGTCATACCAGGCTTTGCGATCCCATAATACATTGTCATGATCATGCCAGGTTTTGAAATACACATTGTCACGGTCAATTATAGCAATCGTAAATTTCTACATCACCACTCTCATACCCGAACTTGGAATACTATATCACATTGCCAATGCCAAGCCTTGCAGAACTATATTACATTGTCACGGTCATGGCAGGCATTGCAATATAATACAGCATTGTCGCGGTTATACCAGGCTTTCATGATAACATTACCACGGTCATGGCAGGATCCTTGCGCTACTTAAAAAACCCTGAATAACAAACATGGTGACGGTTACGCCAAGCGTTAGTCTTGCAACAGATAGGGTCTCAATATATTGTGCTGATGACATAAAAATCAAAAATTTGATTTGAATATTGAATAGATTGACCTACCTTGTCATTTCAAGCTATATATTCTAGGCCTAAGCTTAAGAGTTCACTTACCCAATGCTTTAAATTATGCTATTCGAAGTAAGCCGCTCGCAGAAGCGTGATCCATAAAAACAACATCGTCTCATCACACCAAGACAAGTGACCTTGAACCCGCTAGTTTATGTTTTTCGTTCAGTGTAATTCTGCGAACTCGCTAGGCCTCAGAACGTGATCACAAAATATTAGTCTCCAATACTACGAACCCTCTCCGGGTAAGTCTTCATTTTGATTATATATACTTTAAGTTGGCTAAGGGAGATGAACAGGTTAGGATTCAGCCCCGTAGCCAGGATTTACCTGGGGGGGAGCGGTTATACCAAGGCTTTTGGGGGAGCTGTTTGTTTGACAGTTTTTGCCAAAAAATCATGTGAAAAGTGCTCAGAATCAAAGGCCACGGGAAAAGTAATAGATCTAGTAAGCTGTCTCTTCTATATACACTTATTATTACTTTTCCCTTGGCCTATGCTCAGAATGGTGAAAAACTGCATGATTTTTGAAAGAATTTCTGGCCAGGGTTAGTCATATAAATCCGACCGTTAGTATGCTGTTCTTTGATATTCCTAGTTCTTATGTTACGTTCGAAAATAACAGAAAGTAAAAACAGCAATTAAAATATGATAACAATATATTTATATTTTGAAAAACTAAATAATATAACAATAATATAAAGGAGGTTTAATACTTAAGTGATGTCCAATCAATGATACGACTTATTCTTGATGTCGATAAATGTTGTTGACGATCCTTGAGAAAGTTCCAGATCACGAAATGTTTCAATAATCGTTAATAGTTCTCCAATGTTTGTAATAATCCAATAATGTTTGTTGTAATCCTATAATGTTCGTATCCAATAATGTTTGATGATAATCCACAAATGTTTATGATAATCCACGAATGTATATGATAATCCGTATATTGTGTGTGTTGTAATATATGTCCATATAAAGTCCTCAGGTTGTATGTTTACACTGTTATAAATGTTCCCAAAGTAGGTGTCTGTAATTTTCTGCTAAGAAGATGTCCTTTTGATAGACTTTGAAATTCTGCTTTATTTAGTTCCTTTGAGATGTCCAGTTATGATGACTTAATTATCTGCTACAGAGTAGATGTCCAGTTATGATGACTTAATTTATCTGCTGCTGAGAGCCACTGTGCAGTTCCTTTTATAATGTGAAAGAATTATCCAGAAATGAATCTTCCGGAACTACATCTTGATTGGACATCTTTAGTGACATGATTAAATTTTAATGAATGGTTATAATTTCTAGAACTCTCTGGATGGTCAAGGGTTAATGAGTCATTCAGTTTAGTTTTGTTTACAAGATACAGTGTATAATGTCATTGTGACCTTGACCTAAGATCTCTAATAAAGAATAGCTCAACATATACAACAAGCATAGATTACAAATTAAAAAACTATAGGTGAATATAGTAGAATATAATATACATGTAGCTCACTACTGTAACACCTCCCTCCTTAAAAGAAAAGTTTTGAATGCAATGAAAAACTTTTACAATAATATCTTGGGTAGCGAGCATTACAATTTTTAAAAGTGAGGTTGAGACTTACATAATATTTGTTTACAATAGTCTTTTTATATGCAGTATGTTTACAAGTATATAATACTTTCTATCGTTACAGTGTGAGTATAATCTAATAACATATAATGTTTTGTAATAATGTATTACAATAGTATCATACTACAATGGTATCAAGCTAAGTTATGCATCAAGTCATAAATACAATACATGCAATAGATCATATAACTTGTACAATAGCATACATTTTGAGTCTGACAAACACTAAACTAGTACAATGTTTTAGATTATCACATGATCTTATGTAAGTATTTCTAATTGTAAACTCTGATGTTATCAAGTAATCTTGTGACACTATTTAATGATCACCTATAATGCTCACATAATCTAGATGCAATCTTATAGTTCATATAATATCAATTTCACTGTTTAGGCAAATGTTTTTATATATTGTTAAAATAAAATGACAGTTATCACAAATGTCTAATTTGCCAACCATATAATATAATCTTCATGAGTTTATCTTTATAAATTACAATATCTGAATCTTGAATAACATATAGTTGTCATTTACATACAAGTTTGGCCTATGAGCTAAGAGCACAAGCTCATGTTGAGTAAAGAAATTTTATCACGCTCAACATACTTTTTCATCATGTGTAGCTCTCTACACCTCACAGGGGTAGTTTTATCAATGCCAATGAAATCATTCAGCACTGAGTCAGATTGTAAGTCAGATATAAGCTCCTTTGGTAGCCCAACAAATATGAAATTGTTGATTTGTGATTTTTCAATAATGTTTGCTTTGTTATTCACAAGCACAATGAGTGATTTTATTTCTGGAAACTGTGTGGTCATAGAGAGAATAGTGAGCAGATATTGATTATCAGATTTTGTTTTTGGTAATGGACCAACACAGTCAATAAGAACCTTACTAAATGGTTCATCAAATGCAGGTATAAGTTGTAAAGGAGTAATTGAGATTTTCTGGTTAGGTTTCCCTACCATTTGACATGTATGACAAGACCTACAATACTCTTGGACATCTTGTTTTAATTTGGGCCAATAGAAATGATTGAGTATTTTATGGTATGTTTTAGTTACTCCTAAATGACCTGCCATGGGAGAATCATGAGCTAGACTCAAGATTTCCTTATGATATGATTTTGGGACAACAATTTGATGTACAATTGCCCAATCATCTTCAGGGGAAGCTTCAGGAGGTCTCCACTTTCGCATTAATATGCCATCCTTTTTGTAGAAACAAACAGGGACCTTGACAGCTTCATCAATTGTAAGACATCTTTTATGAAGATCAATGAGTGATGGATCATGCTCTTGTTCATAAATTAACATGTGTTTAGAATGAGGATCATTTTTCAAAGAATCACTATCAGAAATAGAGGATGAAACCTCAGAACTAGAAGAGGATGAAACCTCAGAACAAGGAGGGGATGAAACCTCATGAACACTAGCAGAAGAAGATGAAACTTCATCAGGACTAGCAAGAGCGGGCGAAACCGCATTAAAATAGTGATCCTGCTCAGAAGGTGAATCACCCCTGGCAATAGGCTTTTTCAATGAAGAATATGCCTCATTAGATCGCTGCTTGGCTTGAACAGAAGGCTGTTTCAATGAAGAATTTGCCTTTAAAATAGGATAAGGATCATCTTTAACAAGTGGTGAGTGACATTCATCATCAAACAAGGAGCTTAAAAACCCACTATCAAAGTCATCTCCCACAGACAAATCCCCGCTATCAGCTAACTTTTTAGCCATAGCCCTAGTAACAGCACAAGCAGGATATATATCAGAGTCCTCTTGGACAGAATCCTCAATAGAACAAGGCTGATCTGAAACAATGGGGTCTAATGATACCTTACCCCCAGCTAAATCATTGCCTAAAAGCAATGCGACTCCTTCAACAGGAAGTTGTGGCCTAACACCAACAATAACTGGCCCTTTGACTAACTCTGATGTGATATGAATACGATGGAGGGGAACTTTAGTAAAACCTAATTCAATGCCTTGCATCAAAATATGGGTACCTGTGAATGACTCCTCAGATAAAGGAAGGACACCTTCTAACAACAAAGTCTGTGATGCACCCGTGTCTCTAAGAATCTTAACAGGCTTTGAATTGGTATCATCACTTGAAAGTGACACAAATCCTTCCGACATGAAAGGCTTATAATCCTCCATAATATCACTATGAGTAGATTTCTCAGTATGAGTATATGAATCCCAAACAATGGGCTTTCTTGAAATGGGAACTGTAGCACAACCATTTGAATGAGCAGAACCAGACATCTCTCTTCTATTCTTTATCCTATAGCATTCAGATATAAGATGACCAGGCTTTTTACAATAATTACAGGTGACATTTGATTTTGGACCTGAAGAATTTGATTGATCTGATTTTGAGCTAGAATTCTGTGATGAATTAGACTGGTCTTTTGCTTTGTTTGATGCATTTGATGATGAGGACTGATTTGGTTTTGAATCATATGAAGGTTTGTTACCTTGATAACCTCTAAAGTTGGGATTACCTTTGAAAAAACTACCCTTATGAGTAAGAGCATAATCATCAGACAGGGTGGCAGCTTGGCTTAAAGTTTCTACCTTGTGTTCATCTAAGTAAGTTCTAATGTGATACTGAACACAGTTTTTAAATTGTTCTATTAGCATAAGCTCTCTGAGCTTTTTAAACTCTTCAGATACATCTTTAGAGACAAGCCACCTGTCAAAAAGCTGCTCTTGCTCTCTAGCAAACTCAACATGGGTTTGGTCACTCTGTTTGTGGGCATTTCTAAATTTTTGTCTGTAAGCTTCTGGTACTAGTTCATAAGCTTTAAGAATTGCATTTTTAACTAGGTCATAATCAGAGCATACTTCTCCTGAGAGAGAGGCAAATATTTCACTTGCTTTTCCAATGAGTACACTCTGGAGCATAACTGGCCATGCAGATTTAGGCCAGTCTAGGCTCTGAGCAACCTTTTCAAAATGTGTAAAGTATTTATCAACATTTTTCTCTTGAAATTTAGGTACAAATTTGAGAAATTTTGAAGCGTCAAACCTATTTTCAAAATGTTGATGCATAGTAGCATGTTCATCAGTTTTGGATTGAGCTTCTATTTCAAGACGTTTTAACTCAACCTCTTTTTCTTTTTGAATTTCTTGTTCTCTTATTTCTTTTTCATTTTGCATTTCTTGTTCTCTTAATCTTATTTCTTTTTCATTTTGCAATTCTTTCTCTCTCAATTCTCTTTCATTTTGTAATTTGAGTTCAAGTTCTCTCATTTGTAATTGCTGTCTTCACAATTTAAATATACAAGTTTTGGATTTTGAATTTTAAAATATTTGTATTTTAGCTTGTTGTAGTTGTATCCCGGACGAGCCCCCAATTTCTGTTACGTTCGAAAATAACAGAAAGTAAAAACAGCAATTAAAATATGATAACAATATATTTATATTTTGAAAAACTAAATAATATAACAATAATATAAAGGAGGTTTAATACTTAAGTGATGTCCAATCAATGATACGACTTATTCTTGATGTCGAT